AAAAGCTGAACAAATTTATTTAAATACAACCATAACTGATTTAATTAGAAATAGAAAAATTTAATAATCAGAATATTTGAATTTGTAGTTCAAATCTTGCTCCTAAGAAAATCCTATGTCTAGATTTCTACACTAGTGAATTTGATGAAATATTTAAAGATGAAATAATGCCAATTCTGTACAAAATATGTCAGAAAAATAGAACCAGAAGAAATACTTCCTAACTTGTTTTATATAGCTCATATTATAATCAAACAAAAAACAAACAAAGATATTTGAAAAAAGAAAAACAATGAATTAATCTTCTTCATGAACATTGGTACAAACATTTCTAACAAAATATTAAGTAGAAATTTAAAATGTATGAAAGGGATAATAAAGTTAAATTCATTTAATATCTGAAAATCAGTCAATTGAGTTAAAAAAATGGAGAAATAAAAAAATTAAAAACTTATAGCTAGACTTATACATACATAAATATATATATATATATACATACATATACATATATATAGATATATCTAGATATATCTATATATATGAAATAGAAAACAAGAATATCCACTCTCACTCCTTATAGTCAACCTTATACATTAGGTCCCAGCCACTGAAATTAGGAAACAAAAAAGGATTTATAGCATTGGACATATCTGCTGCAAAAGACTTCTTCAAAATATTAAAAAGAAAAGATGTCATTTTAAAGACTAAAATGTGCCTCTAAAGCCATGATATTTTCAATAGCTTCCTATGCATATGAAAGCTGGATGGTGAATAAGGAAGACTGAAGAATAATTGGTGCATTTGAATTGTGGTGTTGCCAAACAATATTGAGTGAACTGTTAAAAGAATGAACAAATCTTCCTTGGAGGAAGTACAGCTGGCATACTCCTTAGAAGCAAGAATGGCAAGACTTCATTTCTTGTATTGTAGACATGTTGTCAGGAATAATAAAAACCTGGAGAAATACATCATGCTTGATACAGCTGTTCTGTTGTTGTTGTTCAGTGCCCTTGAGTCATTTCCTGCTATTCTTGAGCCCATCATTGCAGCCACTGTATCAAACCATCTCCCTGAAGGCCTCCCCCTCTTTTGTCGACCCTCC